TTTCGAACTGCATTGCGTTTATTGATACCAGAAGTTGGACCACATCAGTAGAAGTTTGCAGCTCTTTGTTTAATTGTTTCTTTCCCCGCGTGCCTTACCATTACCCTCCTGCTTTAGAGCACCTAAATATTGCAATCTTTGTATAAGAGGCACCATCTCGATACACGGTTTCTTCTTAAAGATTGCGTTGGTTCTAAATTCTGTACTTCTTTATTTGGAAACTGCTTGTGTTCGAATGCTGGTCGGTATGTCAGAAACTTTTCTTTGTTCAATATCTGATCTTCAAGTAAAACTGCCCCTGTGCTAGATGCGCTTCAGCTGCCAATGTTTTTTGCAGGGACGTTGAGGTATTTGGAACCTAAAAAATGTCTCTTACTCTTATTTTATAACGGCACTTTCTTATTTATTAGAATATTAATTTACTCAATATATATATATATGGTGTCTCCACCTTATCGTGGTGGTGGGTTTGAATGCTCCTGAGACCCTGAGAACTATGCTGGTGGTAAGGTAGCTATTGGTAGAGTCACCCTTGCCTGACATGTCAAGGGGTAGAGCCAGGTGAAGAGGGATAATCTGGTCCTCCAGGTCCAGGGGTGGGCGTGAGGATAGCCACCTCACACCATAAAAACTAAATTGTTCAGAAACCAGACAATCTGCCTCGGATGGATGGATTGAACGGAAACCAACATCAGCGAAGGAGCTGAGACGGTTGGCAGATGTACATGATCTCCGTAGAATGAAAGGGAGAGGACGGGGAGGAAAGATGAAGAGCAGAGAAGGAGGAAGGCAGATTGTTCAGGAGGCCAGAGCTCACCGGGAGTTTTAGTGCCGAGGATAAGGGAAGGCAAAATAATATATATACGTGGTAGAGTCATTGAGTTCGTGGACTGTGGTTTCATCGCATCATATTACAAGGTATTCACATACACTTACGCAGATACACATCGGCCCTCAAAATAGTTGCCATTGGCCGCTATGCAAGTCTGCCAACACTGATATAGCTGTTGAAAACATTGTTGAAACAGATTGGCAGGAAATTCCCGTACGGCGTCTTTTGTGGCAATGACGACCTCCTGAANCAATTTGTTTGCGATCTACTACCCTCCCACCCATAATTCGGTTCCCTTATTTTACTCTTACTGTTATTATTATTATTATTATTATTATTATTATTATTATTANAAACGGTGATCTGTTGCCTTGTCACTTCCTCTTGGACAAGAAGAGAGCGATGTGCAGGGGCGTTGTCGTGTAGCAACAGCCAATTCTTCCTACGCCAAATGTTTCGCTAGGGGATTTGCCTAGTTTTTGGCAGAACTTGATGTTTACTCGTTGTTCAAACTGCCACATTTTCGATTTCCGCCACTTGCATTTAACTGCAGTTCACGTACTTATTGAATTATTATTACTATTATTATCTAAATGACTTCTTTCTTTTGTCTTTGTGAGCGTGTGTCTTGTTTCCTTCCTTGCTTGTCTTTGCTTTATAATTGGCCTTTACATTTCTCTATTTGCTCATACANTTATTTGGAAACTGCTTGTGTTCGAATGCTGGTCGGTATGTCAGAAACTTTTCTTTGTTCAATATCTGATCTTCAAGTAAAACTGTCCCTGTGCTAGATGCGCTTCAGCTGCCAATGTTTTTTGCAGGGACGTTGAGGTATTTGGAACCTAAAAAATGTCTCTTACTCTTATTTTATAACGGCACTTTCTTATTTATTAGAATATTAATTTACTCAATATATATATATATATATATGGTGTCTCCACCTTATCGTGGTGGTGGGTTTGAATGCTCCTGAGACCCTGAGAACTATGCTGGTGGTAAGGTAGCTATTGGTAGAGTCACCCTTGCCTGACATGTCAAGGGGTAGAGCCAGGTGAAGAGGGATAATCTGGTCCTCCAGGTCCAGGGGTGGGCGTGAGGATAGCCACCTCACACCATAAAAACTAAATTGTTCAGAAACCAGACAATCTGCCTCGGATGGATGGATTGAACGGAAACCAACATCAGCGAAGGAGCTGAGACGGTTGGCAGATGTACATGATCTCCGTAGAATGAAAGGGAGAGGACGGGGAGGAAAGATGAAGAG